AATACTTTATAAATATTTATATTTTGCATAAAGAAAATAAAGTAATGCTTTACAAAGATGGGGAAATTTGCGGTCATGAAAATGTTTATATAACTTCATAAAAATAATTTTGTGTAAAATATAATTTTTTTATTTTTCTTTAAGGGTAAAGTGTGGTCTAGACTAGTTTTAATCAGATTGAACTCTTTAGTCCTCAGTCTGCAGAGGTAAATAATGGGTTTTAATCACCTGTGATGTGTGAAGAGACCCGAGGCGTACTCCAAAACCAGAAACTCACGCAGATTAGACCCAAAACTACAAACACACAAAACCAGAACAGCAATGTGTGCATCACATCAACCAAAACCTTCTCAAAGAGCCACATGAATCTGCAGGCTTTCATTTACATATATGAATGGAAAATGGCCTTAAAAACACTAAAATATGACTTTTTATGGGCAAGAAATCTTGACTTGACATTATAAGGGTACAATCATTAGTATGTCAGATCTGAGCGCTTGATCTGATGTGAGATACGCACTGGAGGTTGTGCGACTGCAGGAGTTTGCAGTGATCCAGCAGGTCCGTCAGATGAGCCACGAACCACCAGTTATTGAGCGCGATGCTGCAGAGACATCAAACATCTGTGTTAGTTTGGAGGATTCACAGACTCTTCTGATGAACGTGCGTCTGCACTGAGAGAGTGTTAACACACCTGCAGTCTTTGATCACCTGATGCAGGTCAAACTCAAAGGCCGACAGCAGGATGATGTCCAGAGGCTCCGGAGACGCCCGCAGACCCAGAAACATGCTCATGCTCGACTGCAACACCAACACAGGGTCAGTATGATATATGGAGTTCATAGATTTATTCACAGTGAAATCTATCAAATCAAGTTCGATATCATTGCATGACTAATTCTCAGCTGTTTGTATGATATCTGGCAGCTTTACTTGTGCTGCATGCAGGGTTATTATAGTTAGCTCACACTAAACCTATAAAACTATTTGTTACTTACTAGGGATGTGCGCGACAACTAATTTGACTGTCGTTTAAACGAAAGTTTTGTATCCGACT